GGTGGGGGGGGGGATGCAGCCCGCGGAGACAGGACTTTGGTGGCTGAGAGCTGCGAGCGGCTCCGGGGGGGGGGACAAGCCAGGGGGCTGGGGACATTGCTGAGAGCTGCCTCGGAGCCCCCCCTCCATCCCCCCAATCCCATTAATTAAGACCACTCGTGAGAGCTACCGGAGCACGTGGTCCATGTGTCCGTGTATGGGGCAAGGGGAAGGTTGTGCCCACCCTGGGGGGGGTGCATGGGGGGGGCACAGGCATAGCCTCACCCCCCCCACACCTCCAAACACCTCCCCCAGGTGCCAGCCACGCTTGGGGTGTGGGGTTCAGGGCTCCTCTTGAAGCAGAGCCAAGGGTGAGCAGGCTCCTGGGGCGGGTAGGAGGGGGGTTACACGTCCCTGCTGAGCACAGGGAGGGGTTACTACAACTGGTTTTTTACCCCCTTGCACCCCCTCTTTTTTCTGGACACCCCTCTGCTGGGGCAGGGCAGCTCCAAACCCCCTAAAAAAAACCAAAAGCCAGCGCTTTTTTTTTTTTTTTTTTTTTTTTTTCAAAGTTATGATAGCTAAAAAGGAACAGAATTCCTAAGTATGTTAAATGCTTAAGTATGTTAGTGAATCAGAGAACTCTTTTTGCTAAATGAATGTCTTCAAAACTAGGCGTAGTAAAAGGAAATGGTCTTAGGCAGCAAAATGTAAATTGTCACTCCAGAAGGCTAATCTTAAACTTCTAAGTAACAATCACTAAGCCAAAGTGATATCAAGACTGCTAGAAGTCAGTAATTTTATTTCCCCCCCCCCCCAAAAAAAATAATCTCCCCATGGTTGCCTCCTCGCAGCAAGTTTCGGCTCTCCTACTACCCGCACCGGCTGGAGGCCTTCACGGCCCTGCTGAAAGGCGCCTTCCAGGGGAAGTGCCAGCACAGCGTCCTGGGTGACTTCCAGCCCTACACGCCAGGGCAGGCCCACGTCCCCTGCTACTTCATCCACGTCGTGAAGAAGACAGCCTGAGGAGGAAGGGGAAGGGGGAGGCGGGAAGGTGTGG